CCTCAGAGCAACTGATTCAAATGAGAACAGGGTAGAAGTGCAATGCCTTTTATAGTCCAGGCTTGGGAGTCACACTGTGATTTCCACAATATCGTATTGGTTATATAGGTCAGCCCTATTCAGTGTGTACGTGAGCTGCACAAGAGTATGAATTCCAGGAGGTGAGAATCATTGGAGCCATCTTGGAGGCTAGCAACCACAGACAGTGGTAAGTACTAAGGAGAAAAGTGCAAGATCCTGAGTATAGGGTAGAGTTTAGGGTTGCACTTTTAGAAAGGTCTCTAAGAAAGATCTCATTATAAAGGTGACATATAAAAAAAGATCTGAATGAGCTGAAGGAAAAAAAGCCATGTGGATGTCTAGGTCAGACAGAGGAAAGGACAAACACAAGGCCCCTGAGATGGGAGTGAGTATGATGATGATAATGATAATTGTAGCAGCTCAAAGACCACTGTTGAATAATTAAATAAGCAATACGTGATTAGACCAAAAAAACTATAAGCAGAAAAATAGAAAAGAAACTAAGTGTTGACTCACTTCCTCAAAACTTTCAACTGCCTTCTCCTTAGGCTCATTTCAGCCTTAGCAGTAACTCCAGTTAATTCAGCACTGAACCCTTCTTCTCCTGCTGCAGGTCAGAGTGTGTGCCTGGAAACCAGCTTTAAGCACTACTCAAGAGATACATTTTTACTTTGAGAAGAACAGTGTTCAAACAGAGGCTGGATACCTCCTGTGAGGAAAGTTGTTGAGGTTCCTGCACTTCATGAGCAGAAGGCTAAACTAAGTCTTCTTCAATGCTAAGTATCTTAGCTATAATCCTGTTATAGTTAAAAAACTGCCTCCCCAAAATACTGCCACAGATTTTCAATTACAGGTTCTGTAATATTTTCTATAAAAATATATTTCAATAAATACACTTCACTCAAAAAAAAACCTGCCCACAATGCTCTCTGCAAAGTGCTGTTCTGTTACTCTTACTTCTTCAGAGCAGTCCTGAAAGATAGGTGGTTATTACTAATGCACCTAAATGACTCTCTATGGATTTTATAATTTTATAATTCTATTGATTTAATATGTACAGGAATTTAGGAGTCTGATGAAAATTTTAAAAGCTTGTACTTAACATAACTCCAGAATTTTCCATACAGATCCTCTGCCTAAAATTACCATGTGATAAAAGAATAAAATGGTGTATCCACAAGAATATTTTGCATTACTGGTCAGTTCTAATAGAATTCTCTGTTCCCTTATAACTTCTTTTTTTAAACAACCAGGCACACCATAAGAGGAAGTGATCCTTGAGACATACTTGTTCTGAATGTTAACAAAGGAAAGGCAAAGATTGTATTTTTTTTCCCATGTCAATAATAAGACCTTTGCCCCTCTCCCGTTCAGCTATGAGTTGCAGTCACTTACCTTCCACAAGGGCAACTGTGGCGGAGACAGAGGAAGAAAAGGAGCTGTTTATTACCTCAATATATATGGATGAAGGAGTGGTGTTCCAAGTCTCTGACTAATCCGGGGGGCTGTATCAGGAGATTCAAGATCTCCCTGAATCACAGGGAAATTCAGCCACCCTGACACTCCATCCCCTCTCCACGTCACCCTTCCCAACCTGGCTTTCAAGACGTCCACCTCCATCTTCACCCCTCACGTCCTTTCTCAGAAGAGCTGTCATGATATTTATTCATAGAACGGGGGTGGCAGTGTTACTCTGCATCTTTCTCATTGGGCATCACGGGTCCATTTTCTTAGAAATTCAGTCTCAAGATTTGCCTTTAAAATCTAAAATAACCCACAAAAGGAATGAAATACTTGATATGTATCATAAAAATTTGTGGACAGTAACCCTGTTTTCATTTCAACACATAAGCACATTTTTAGATGCTTCTCAACAATGAAAGAAGTCCTGGAATAATACCTAATTGTAATTTCACTTTTTCATTGGAAGAAAAATATTTATTAACATTTCAAATTTTACAAAAATATATCTGAGATAATTTCCCCTGAAAGATAATAGTGCCATCCACAAGGGTCAGAAAAAGTCACATCAATAGATTAACATGATTTAATGCTTTGAATTAATAATTAAGGTGAGTTTGCAGCAGAGGTAAAATAATTTGAAAGAAACTGCAGTCCAGTTATCTCCCCTACTTTTAAAATTCATCTAAGTTTTTTTGTTCTTTTATTACATAAAATTAGAATAAAGTACAGAGACAAATCAAAACAAAACAAAAATCCACAAGACAATAAACTCTTTGCTGTTATGAAGCTTCCTTCTGGTAAGAAGAGGGACAAGCAGGAAGACAATGAATAAACAAGATGCATTCCGATGGTATTAAGGGCTTTGAAGAAGATGAAACATGGGGATGTGATAGAGAATGTGGGGCGTTCAGAGAAGGCCTGAGGAGGTGACATATGAAGACAGATCTGAATGATGTGGGTAGGGGCAGCCATGCCAAGGACCAGGGAAGGGAAGGGTGGTCTGCACAGAACCAGCAGGTGTTTGACTCCCCAGGAGGGCAGTGTGGATAAACAGAGTGAATGGCAGGAAGGGTGGTGAGAGGTGATGTCAGGGAGGAAGGCAGGGGCACCTCATCTAAGTCTTATAGGCTATGGCAATTCAAAATTAGTAACTAGATTCTGATTCACGTGATGACCACAGAATGAAGATTTACTCTGAACATGCTTATATTCATTCATCTCATACCGCCATGGGAAATCACTGACCCAGTGAACATAGACTGAGCATCTACTCTGTGCAAAAAGCACCATTACAGAAGGATTTTTTGAGAGAGATGCCATGGAACCTTACTCGGGAATTTAAAGAATGTTTTGTTCACTGTGATTTTCAAGATAATAACTAAGAACAACATAAGATTACTTACACGAATAAACTCCAAAATAACAGAGAACAATAACAATGATTTCCATTTCAACATTAAATTTATACTTCATGCAATACCATAGAAGCTTTTCTGTTAAGATCTTACCATTCAGCTAATTCGGTGATAACCTTGGAAAGCTCTTTCTTGATTTAGTTCTAAGCTGAATAGCCTACCTAATCTTGTCTGGATAGGAGATTTGTGCTGTATTATGATGAAAAACATACATAGTTTTCCAGTCCTATATCATCAACGTGTATGTGAATAACCATAAACATCCAACACACATAATGTGGCACTCCTGATGTTTTCTGGTTGCAATACTGACCTTTCATTTTGTATGAAGAGAATAAAGGGAAGGAATCCACGATTTACCATGCCTGTAGTAGGACTAGACATAGAGTTCTCTCTTAATGCTCATGATAGCCGTATGGGGTATTATCTTCATTTTACTGAAGTGCAGTGAGTTGGGCAACCTGATCAAGGCCACACAGTTTGTACCTAACTCCAAAGCTCATGCTTTCTAAATGAATCCTTAAAGCCTCCTGACTGAGAGAAGCTGATTAATTAATAGCATTAATTGATTCAACATGCACTTCTTCTAAAGCTCTTGAAAAGCCGATTTAACCATACTGGACTTACCAAAAGAAAAAGAATAAAACTTTGCAAAGATAGCTTGTCCTTTATTGCTGGTCAAAATAGCTTCTCTGAAGAAGAGAGATATCAAAATCTAGAAGCAGATTTTTTTTTAAAATCTGACAAGAGGAGTATTTTTTGACTACACTGAAGGATGAAGGCATGGCAACCCAGAGGGTGGGTTAAACAGGCGTTTAGATGTCACCAGCAAAAGTACCGAGGGCGTGCATTATGGAGGACTCAAAACAGTTAGCCTTGGCAGACTCTCTAGTCCAGCCTGTGTTAGATAAAACTGATGTGCTCAGTTTGAACAGTGGGAAAATGGGCACTTCTTGTTTCTGCTCCTTCGGAGGCAGCAGATGGCATAATTGGTCATAAATGCTGGTCGACAAAGCTTTCAGGAAAGAAGCTTTGAGTCTGTAAGCAAGTTCTGAGCTGCTTATTCTGCTGCTGCCTCCAACACTGAGACCCTTTAACACGTGCCTGCCTGTCAGTAGGCTTCCAGCAGGAACTTAGAAAATGGCAGTGAAATTCAGGGGAAAAAACCCAAACTCTCGCATAATCATTTTATTCAAACCCAAACAAATATTCACTTAGTTCTTGTTTATTTTGCTCTTTAATTCCTGGAACTGTTGAATCAATAGTGTTTTGGGATGGTAGTCTTTCCCCAGAGTTTCCCCCATCAACATTTTTGACATGCTTGTATGGGACACTTGTTTAAAAAAACACAAAACACACATTCAACAGAATTGTCTATTTCCCTCAGGAGTCATTTTGGAAGCGACTGACTAATCATATATAATTGTTCAGATGTCACTTGCACAACAGCAGACTAGACAAAGATTTTTAAATCACAACTTAGGTGAAATCCAATGCTTCGCCTGTTCACGTCCCACTTCGATCCAGGGCTTATTTGGCTGAACTCTTCCTGTTTCAACAACTTGAACACCAACCAATTGGACAAACAACGCCGCCGGCAGAAGAGGGCCTGCTTCCCCCACCCCCACCATCCGCCCCGCTGTGCACGAGCTGGGGACATCTCCGCTGCCAACTTCCCCGTGTCTCATTTCAGCCCAAATGACCCTGAAACTAGGCTCATCGTGGGACTCTAAGTCCCTCTGCCCCCTGTCAGCCCCCGTTTGGGGGCCCCTCTCCGCGGAGTGGGGTATGCGCTGAGGATGTGGACCCCGTGGAAGACAGGGGGCTCTCTCGGATCCTCGGCGACCCCTTCCGCGGGGCGCTGTCTCGGAACCCACTGAACGGGGAGGAGAGTGGGGGATGACCAGGCACCAGCGTCCACGGGGGCGCACGGGGTGGGCATGCGGGTGACGGCGAGATGCCCGGTCGGGATGCAGCCCCTCCGGCCGCCCTCGGGCGGGGCGGGGTGGAGAGTCTGCTCCTTTGGGCAGGGGGCGAAGGCAGTTGCGCAAAGTCCGGGCTCCCAGGCCGAGGAGGGGGCGCGGCACGGGGGCAGCTTACCCGCGACCACGGCGGCGGCGAGGCCCAGCAGCGGCAGCAGGAGAGCAGGCAGCGCGGCCCGGGGCATGACGGCGGGTGCGGGCGCCGAGCGCGGCGCTTCTCGGAAGTGCGGATCCGCCTGAGCCCTCCCTCGGAGCTGGCCCCGCGGGGAGGGGCTGGAGTGGAGGGGGCCCCCCCTAGCGCTGACCCAGGCTGCCAGATCCCGCTGGCCCGCTGCCTTCTGGAACGTCTCTCCGTAATTTCTAAAACTTTTCATTTGAACTGAAATAATTCCAGACTCTCAAAACTGTTGCAAAAATAGTACAAAGAATTTCCGTAACCTTTCAACCAGCTTCTCTAAATGTTAACATCGTATATAACTCCAGTACAATGACCAAAGCCAGGAAAGTAGCGCTGGTAGAATACTATTAACTAATCTACAGGCCGTATCTCATTCCACCAATTGTCACTCTAATGTTTTTCTGTTCTAAAATCCAGTCCAGGATCCGGCATTGCATTGAGATGTCATGTCTCCTTGATCTCCTTCAATGTGAGACAGCTCCTCTGTCATTCTTTGTCTTTCGTGATCTCAACCCTTTCTAACCCTTTCCAACCCTTTCCGTGCCTCTGATAGTCCAGTCTGAAATGGAGTGATTGCACCAAGGAAGTCTGACCAAAGGGGTCTATAAGGAAAGTCATAGTGCCAGAGGTGTTGGGGCCATCTGCATTTACTGATAGGAAGGAACATAACTTACTCATGGACACACAGTGAATGCCAAAACCAAACCAGAGCCCAGGGCTTCTGCTGAACTCTGCCACCCAGTCCAGGTTTGGCCCCTTGCTGAAGCATCAAGGTCTGGCTTGACTTATTTCCCTTCTTCTTCTCAGGCTGTCAAAAATGGGTTTATATACTGAACCCAAACCCAAAATGAATCGTTTCAAAGGTACTCTATGTTTAATATTCAAACATTCTGATTCTGGACTCTTCTGTCCTGCTAACTACGCAAGTAAAACGAACAGTTCTCTGCAACCATACAACTGAAAAAGTTTTCTGCACCTTCGCCTAAGGCACCAAAGTATATTTTATCACTATGGATTACTTTGCATTAAACTAATTTTCACATAATCGTTAGATTTACGATAGAAATGGCATCCTAACAAATCATTTTAATGTAGGCAAGTAACCCACTTCTACAGTGTTTTGTTTCTAGATCATTGAACTAAGGGAAGGTATATTTTTTCCACTGTTAACTCTGGGGCACACTTCCTCATTTTTTTATGATAGTATGACAAAACAGACTACTGACTACCTCTGTGTGGGACAATGTGATATTTCATTAAAATATCTCACTGTGATGTTCTCCTTTCCAATCACACCTCACACCTTTTATTTTTTCATCTCTTTCACTCCAACTTACCTCCTCTTTGACCTCATTCCAGACTCCAGTCCCTTGACTTCATCTTCCCCAGCCTGTTATTTCTCCCTTCTCCATCCAGCCTGGGCACCACACCCTCCCTTGTTCCTCTGTTGCATCCACCCGGCCAACGCTGAACCTGGGGTCTCTTCTTTCTTTCTTTTTTTTTTTTCCTTTTTACAATTAAAAAAATTTCCCGTAGCTTTATTGAGATATAATTGACGTATAACACTGTGTAAGTTTAAGGTGTACAACACATTGATTTGATACACTTATATATTGCAAAATGGTTACCACCATAGTGTTAGCTAATAAATCCATCCTCTCACATTATTAATTCTTTTTTGTAGTGAGAACATTTAAGATCTACTCTTTTAGCAACTTTCAAGTATACAATACAGTATTATTAACTATAATCACCATACTGTACATTAGATCCCCAGAATTTACTCATCTTATAACTGGAAGTTTGCACCCTTTGTCCAACAGCTCCCCCTTTCCCCCACTCCTAGCTCCTGATAACCACCACTCTACTCCCTGTTTTTATGAATTTGGCTTTTTTAGATCCCATATATAAGTGATGTCATTCAGTATTCGTCTTTCTCTGTGTGACATTTTGAAAAATTGAGATATAATTGACATATAACATTATATTAGTTTCAGATGTACAACATAATGATTCAATATTTGTATATATTGCAAAATGGTCACCACAGTAAGTCTAGTTAACATCCATCACCATGTGTAGTTACAAAAAATTTTTTTCTTGTGTTGCTGGCTTATTTCACTTAGCATAATACCCTCAGCGTTCATCCATGTTGTTGCAAATGGCAGTTTTCTTCTTTCTCACGGCTGAATAATATTCTACTATAAATATTTATATATCCAATAACCTTGATATTATATCCATCAAAGTATATATCCATTATATATATATCCATTATTATATCATGATATATATATCCATGATATGTATCCATTATAAATAAACATGTATTTATTAATAAATAAATATATCTATATATGTATATCTAAATATATATATCACATTTTTAAATCCATTCAACCATTGATGGACACTTAGGTTGCTTCCATGTCTTGGCATTTTATTTTATTTATTTATTTATTTTTTTTGTGAGGAGATCAGCCCTGTGCTAACATCCGCCAATCCTCCTCTCTTTTGCTGAGGAAGACGGCCCTGGGCTAACATCTGTGCCCATCTTCCTCC